AATAAAAAATCAAATAATGCTCATTATCATTGCATAGGTGGAGATAATGATGTTTTTTTCAAATCAATGTAGAATCATCCTTTGTTTAAATTAGACTGGGTGCTTATTTTTTTTTCATTTATGAATAACCAGGACCGGGATAAGACTATTTTCTGAACAACCGTAAATAGTCAAGATATCACAATTCGAAAGAATCCGTATAAATCAATATTTTTCAATATTTTATTTATAATTATTGTTTCTTCAATCTGTCATAGTATCTATGATACAATTATGTTGTGGTACTATTCAATGAATGTAGTGACTGGCGCCTATTTCACTAAACGTTTATTCACTACCGACTCCTCTGATTGTATAGTTTATGCACAGTCAGTTGGAAAAACACATCACCGCAAGCCGTCGGTCCCTTTGATAGTTCATAAGGTTTCATAGTATGCGGCAGCGCAGCCCGACATTCGTTTGATTATCTGTTCAACTGACTTTGCATAAACTATACCATACGTTCAGGTTAGGGTATAAGTGTTAGGTTAGTTAATCAAGATTTATCTAACCTCTTGGACTATCGGATGAACTTTATAAAGTTGCACAAAGTTCGTACCTTACGATAATGTATTTTGCAATCTGTTTGATTCATCAACCTGCGAAAGATAAAATAATAAAAATACCCAGCGTTCTATTACTGATTCCAAAACCCGCTTAGAAACATATCAAAATTCATCAAAGTGTGTCGCTATTATGAAGATATAATGATAAACTTAGATTCCGATCAGATACGAGCCCGGACTGGTGATGCCACATTCACTCATTCCTGGACATCATTGATGAAACACCGCAGGAAAAAAAGCGACTTTTCACTTTCCTATAGTTTCTGCCACTGGAATTGATGATCTCGGCTAATAGTTCATCACTAACAGGTAACATAAGGCTAACAGGCAGCACATAGAACAACTTTTTGTCGTCAACCATGTACCAAGTACTAAGTCACAGAGCTGCGGAATTCTCTGCCTGATAAGTATACTTTCAAAAGTTCAAAAAAATTCCAATACCAATCTTCCTTCTCTATCCTTCCTTTAGGTACGCACACGTTGTTTTGCGAAAAATAATAGGAATTTCCTCCCGTGCACTCCAAAAAATTGAAAAAAAATATTGATGTGTCGCAATTCAATTACGAAACTATTTTAGAATGTCATGTTCACCTGGTGTATGAAGTAAAGACAACGTTATCAACTTGTTCTTTGATAGTAGCATAAGTAAGTGACCATATAAGCCTCTCTAGATATATAAAATAATTTCTTGTAACTTTAAAACCTCACATCAGATGAAAGTCCGTATATACTACTTATAGTATATCATGCAAAAAGTGTTATGAACGTCATTTTGGTAATGAGAATTTTGAGCACGCGCGCAGCAGAGCGTTACATACTATACTTTTTCTACGAACTCATAATTCCTCTCTTCCACAAGATCCCATAATTCTGAAAATTAGTTGATAACCTATCTGCTAACCTACAAAATAATTCAAAGGGAATGAGAATTGAGAAAATAATACATATAATACTATGCAACTGCATGGAAGTGAGTAACGAGACACGTATAAGTTATATTGGTCGTAGATGTGCGTCCAGTCCATAGAATAGATGAATTTCTATTGAAATGACTTGTTTACTGACCTTCTTGAATAAGATTTCATGTGACGTAGTAGATAAAAATTATTCGATTCGCTGAGGTGTCAAAGTATTCGATTTCTCTATATGAAATCAACGGCATCATTTTATTTTTCAGACATTGATGAAAAATGTATTCTACATATAAATATTCAATGTCTGTCTATTATTGTTATTATTATGATCAGTATAATTATTATTGCGTTCTAATTTATGAGATATTCGGTAGCGGAACATGGAAATAGATTGATGCTTCGTTGAAAAAAGTCAACTTTTCTATTAAATACTGTCCTGCTCTCTGAGGCGATTGGGATTGAAATATATATAAAGGTAATAAAACTACGAAAACCATTCAATTCAGTATAGTCCTTCGATTCATTATAATAGGATAAAATATATATATATTCAAATATGTACAAGTCAAGTGTGTATATAATTCTGTTCTTCATAGCAGTGGAATTTTCATCTGCATATTTGAAACTTGAGGTGAGTATACAGTGAGAAATAATATAATAGGTCGCAACAAGCAGCATCATTACTCGAAATGCTGTTTTGGAATCTCTACATTTCTGATGGAGAATTCTGATATAAACGGAAATTGTTTCAATAATTCAGACTGCAACACAATTCGGGAATGACATTTGACAGTTCTTACAATTGACAGACCGGATAGGAGAGGACTGAAACGACTGAAGGTGTGTTTAATAATAGTGTTCAACAGCAGGATCATTCAATTTTCAAGGATGTTCGAACTGTAGTTCATTCAATATGAATACAACCACAGAGTGACATATTTGTGTATGGACCAGGTAATCTAATGGCAAATACCGCACCAGTGCCTGGTATTAGAATATCGATTATTTATTCCTCTCCAAACGACACTGTATATATAACTACGAAAACCATTCAATTTAGTATAGTCCTTCGATTCATTATAATAGGATTAAAATATATATATTCAAATATGTACAAGTCAAGTGTGTATATAATTCTATTTTTTATAGCAGTGGAATTTTCATCTGCATCTCTGAAACTTGAGGTGAGTACAGTGAGAAATAATATAATAGGTCGCAACAAGCAGCATCATTACTCGAAATGCTGCTTTGGAATCCCTACATTTTTCAGCGAATCAATCAATTTTGATGTTGAGTGAGGAGTTGCTTGAAACGTACCGCGTACGTACTAAGTTTCATTTTGCATCATAATAATATGTGATGCATAAAATGACCAAGAGGGTACACAACTGAACATTTTGTAAATTTTCGAAATCAACCCCAATATTACTATATCCCTATCCACTTTGATGACCTTCCAGTTTTAAACTCATTAGTTTGTCTTCATTGATTCATGAGATTTGTCATCGAAATTCCAGAATTATTTCAAAAAAATGAGACGTTATTATAAATACACTCAAGTTCAGTGTTCTGATATGAATTTTTGGTTTCATCTATGGTTTCATCATCTGGGCTGATTCCTATAGACTTCACCTGGTGTTGAGTTTCTTTACTTTCCCGCAGAAATCTGTGAGTTTCATATCAGTTGTTTTTTTATCTTTGTGCTTGGTCTTGTGCATAATCCCCACAGATGTCCCCCAATTCACTTGGTCTATGTTTTTTTTCAAAATGGAAGCTTTTGAAAGAAAGCTGAAAAAGCGACTTGTTCGTAAGGCCCGAAAATATTTTTCGTATTAGTTATCTCGTCCCACATAATGGAATATGATTACTTCAACAATTGTTAATTGTACGATTTTTTGAGTATTTTCAGTCATTCCATCTCCAATTTCCTTGTAGGTGATATTTTCTTGTTCTCGTGAGCCTGATGATGGCATATATATGCCCGAAGCATGTTCCTCCAACCCTTAATTTGGAAAAATATACTTCGTAATATACTTCTACTGTTGATGTTTTCGGATCACAATATTTTTTTATGGTTCATGCAATAATTGGTCTAGGCTAGGTGATCGGTGTGTTTCAGTTAAGAAGAATTAGACCATTCCAAATGTCTCGCTTGAAATCGATATCCTATTGAATAGTCGAATTATTGGAAAAAACTGATTTGAATTTCAAACTCTGACGTCCAGTAAGGCGGACATTGGTCCCAGATAAAAATAGGCTTGAGGAACGTCACATTATTTTCGTTTCAAGAATACACGTCTTGGAGACGTATATTTGGGTTAGGCAAGAGTATGGAAACAGGTGAATATCTCAGTAACCGTTTGTTGCCACTTCTTCAGTTCTTCCGGAATTAAATCCAACTTCCTCGTTCTAAATAGAATACCCTGTATTTCATTGAATGTTTATATTCTTCCTCAGAAGCTGATATCATAGATCGATCACACTTGGGGTCTAGCGGGAATGATTACCAAGATATAGGGTGGTCAAAACCTAGTTTTTTCAACTTTAGGATATTTTTGTGTCGAGACTATTCATTATTGCTCGAAACAGGTTCAATGAATCTTTCTTAACTTCTGATTTACTATCTACTGACATTCATTCGGAACAGATACATGGTGATCAGAATTCTGAATCTTGGACCATCTTGTATTTGTTTCAATCAAAAAAGTCAGTAGAAAGCAAATCATAAGTTGAGGACGGACATGTGAACCGTTTTAACCAATAATAAATGATTTCGACACAAAAAAAATCGTATAGTTGAAGAATCTCGATTTAAAACACCCTATATCTCTGTGATCATTTTCTATTGATTCGAAGTATGATAGATCGAAGAGATCAGCTTTTCAGGGAGAATCTGAAGATTCTATTCAAAATGAGGAAAGTGATAATAATTCCGGAATAACTGAAGAAGTGGCAACATTGGCGATAACGTTATCAAATCCGCCATGTTTTGATATCACCTAGACATACATTCGGAAAAAATCTAAAGAACGGTTACAGATAATATGTTCACCTGTTTCCATACTTTTGCCTCATCCTGTATACTGTTAAGGGATTGACCTCCTTCTCTTCACGGACCCCTTGAATAAAGGCACATATCGGGTGAGAATACCACATTCGCCACTCACAGGTTTAGGATATGTTTGTCTAAAACCATTGAAAATGCCATTGTTGTTGCGTTTCAGATATCGAATATCGATTACCTTTTACAAATATGATCACAATATCAAGATATTATTTTGAAATTTCGAAAATATTCTACAGATTAGATAATAGGTAGATATTGGACTATGAAATACGAATTCGTTGGAAATTATCATGGGTTGGTACCTACTATTGAGGAAACCCAAAAATTGATGAGAACTAGGAGCAGAGCAGTGGCAATTTATAAAGAAAACGTTTCCTTTACAGGAACTTGGAGAGAACCTTTCGAAACTGGCACCGGTGTTACACAATACTTGTGTCAGAAAAACAGGAATACCCGAAGCTACAATACTAAGCATGAGAGAAGGACATTTTGAAGAAGAAGACAAATCAAAGGTAAATATTGGTAACATATGAGAATTTGAAATCTTACATGGTGTTCCATAAATTGAAGCGATAAATGGAGTGAGTATAATAGAAGATGAAAGAATAAAATCAAATAATTGATCTTTTTGCTGGGAGCAACAAATTAATATCGGTGCTTTCTGCACATAAAGCAGACAACATTTTTTCGATCAATTTACATTAATTTTTATTTCAAAATTTCTTCAGGAGTCATTTATAAAACCATGAATGTGATAGTGATTCTTAAAATTGTTCTACAATAACATGAACAAATTGAACCAAATCATTTTCATAAAACCATATTTATCTGCTTTTTCAGTTTATTTCAATCCCGATATTGCGGCTAGTGCAATTCACTACTAAGAACAAACTTCATTCTCCGTAATTTCTTCAATAATATATCAAATTTTATATAACTCTTTGAGGAATAATGAATGTCATGCACATCATAGGTATTCTCTCTCGTGCTCTCCAAGCGAAAAAGAAGTGCACAACATGCTACTTCGTAGATCGAGAACTGATTTTTTCAAGGAGGCGCAACCGAGTGAAACAAATGGGGGACAATAGAAATCGATAAAGTCAAAAGAAGCCGTTAAATAGTTATTTGTGGAACACAAGGGTGTTTGTTGCATTATGCGTGAAAGTTCACTTCAGCCCAAGTGGTATATAATATAGTAAAGGATACTTATAACAGAAAAAAAACGGAAGAATAATCCAGAATTCCCTTACAACCTACAATCATTTCTAGACGAAAAGAGAACCTACCAGAAAAATCACATACTGTAGGTTGATTTGCTAGTGCTGTAATGCTGAAAAAACAGCATTTCGTTGAATACAATCCCTATGACATAACATATTATATTTTAATAAATCCTTGGACAGGTCGATTTCCATTTTCGAATATGTATTTTTAACATAACATTTGTCAACCACCTGACAACCTCCTACCCTTCAAATCAACCCCCTCAAATGGTTTAAATAGTACAATGGGTCATATTACACTTCGTGCAGAGATATTTCAAAGCTTTGTACAATTCTCTTTCAAATTCGTTTGGGCGGGTATAACCCCATTTAGCCTATTCTCCCTGTTCTAATCCGGGTTTCAGAAGAGCCCGGAATTTATGATAACCCAGTTGCGCCTATGGTAAAAATAAGCCTAATCTATAGACTCAGCAGGTTATCAATGACATACTGTCGCTGCTCATTATCGGAACACCCCCTACCCTATAACAAATGTTTCGAAATCGTGAGCCAAGAATGTGTAAGACTAGGATATCAATTTTGAATCTGTTGAAGTTTTATCGGATTTTAAAAACTCTATTCATTTACCCATAAGATTTATATAGCCAGAAACAAGAATGATAGGATGCAGATTTCATCTAAGACAATCTTGGATTAGAAAAATCCAAAGTTTAGGATTGATGTCCGGATACAAAAACAATTATTCACTTATTGGGAGTATTTCACATTGGACACTTGGCTTGACATTATTAGAGCCAAAAACAGTGGGAGATCAAATGTTGACGAATGACGCAAGATTGAGGAATTATTTTGAATATCTTGTTGATAATTATAAACGAGGATTCTGAATTTCCTTCTTAAATTTGTGCTCGTGCTGAAGCTAGTAGTTACAGAACAACAAATTGCTGTGAATCCTTTCTTTCTGATTCAACAAAAAGTTTGTATGCACCTCATCCGAATATTTTTAAATCTGTTCAAATATTGAAGGAATTTCAAACTGAAACTTACATTGAAATCAATAGTATTCATATACCAATAAAAATCACAAATGAATAGTATAAAGACAGAATTCAAATCTTAGCCAAAAATTAAAATATATTAATTCATGGACAAATTGAGAGGTTCGATTTTGTAGAAATTGCGTCTTCGCATTATAATGAAATCTGTACATAAATAAATGTCTTGTACACTTCGAATGAATGTCTTGTATACTTTGTCAATGATTAAGTATTTCAGTTGAATAGTGTAGTTTCATTGTACTGAATGTACATCTACGCATATGTACATTGTACATAAGCGTAGACAGACATGCTGTACGAAATATTAAATTCAAATGTAGGTTAATTAGCTGTTAAAGTAATTCATCAGAACAGCACCTATCAAGTCCTATGAATGCAGACAAACATTCTAATAAATTTTCAATCTTTCAACTGTTCTCTTGCGGATATATCTCGACCGAATTTAAGAAAATAAGACCGTTGTATAGAGATTTGGAATACCCCCAGGTTAGGTTAGGTTAAATTCCATGTGAGTGGGGCGAATACCTCTCCTCCACTGCGACCCCAGATGGGTCTATTGTGGCTCACCCCTAGAGGTTACAGTTCACTGTACAATCCACATCTTTTTAGAAAGTTCATGGTTGAATTGGATGGGATTTGTCTGAAATCGATAGGTTCTAAATTGGTAAAGCCAAATGTGTCGAACCTTAGTCTTTCTTAGCTAGAGCATGAACATAATATGTGTTCAGCCGTTTCGTCTTCCACACAACAGAACCGACAGTCCGTTTGTTGGTTCAGACCCATCCTTCCCAGGTGGTACCTTAGACGACAGTGTCCCGTAAGCAGTCTGGAATACCTCTATAACTTGATGAAGAATTCTTGGAGGGGTTGATCGGTGAGGTATAGGAGGTTGAAGGTGGTCAAAACTGTTTTTGTATTTGTATTTTTGTTTAATAGAGATACAGATTTTATTCTCACACAGTTTTCCACACAATATAATATATAATAATCAGGAAAAAATATCACGTATTCAAAATACGCCTAAGTTTTTAAATTTGCGTACAGCAAAAATTTCGAAAGTTTTGCTCTTGGTGAGCCGACATGCAATAATAGTGAGTTATTCGATTACATAGAAGTTGTGAACTGTGATCTCGATTGATTTTGAAAAAGGTTTCTTGTGATTTGTTTTGTTATTCTGAATCATATACAACAATATACCATTTTATTTATCGCTGCAGGTCCGAAGACACCCTGTGGAATAAAGCATTTCAAAAAAATTTCTTTTTTATAGGAATATGTCACATGCATATGGCTGGAATCCCAAATTGTGAGTATAAAAATTTTAACATTCGGATTTCGATTACTGGCACAGAAAAGTAACGAAAGATGACGATATTACCAACATATTTTTAATTTTTCGATACCTATATAAAAAGATTTGTCAATTGGATTATGCACTACAATTTCTTCTCAACTGAACGTGAAAAATGATAATGATATCTTTTACAAAACAACAACCTCTGTGTGATAAGTACATAAAAACCAATTGAAAGTTATTCTAAGAGCACCTAAATGAGATCATGCACCTATGATTATTTTTTTTCGAATGATTTTTTTCACGGAAAATAGATAATTTCCTATGAAAAACGCCATGTATCTATATGATCTCCATGAGAATTGTAACAGATATTCTCAACATGCTGATGATATTAGTTTTTCGCTAAAAAAATGAGTTATATCAATAGTGGATTTTTTAAATTTTGATTCGATCATAGTTGATCGTGTAAAATGAGAGAATTGAGAAAGTAGATCGCATTGAGCAAAAAGAAATTGAAGTCGGTCGACGAATAAGAAAATACACAGCTGGTGCAGCTTACACTCAGAAAAATAGTCGTTAGTGAATACCAAACGTTTAGTAAAATAGGCGCCAATCACTACAATCATCGATCAATACCACAACAAAATTATATCATACTATACTATGAGTATATATCATACTATTTTGAAGTGGTAATATTTCATATGATATAGTATTATACAATTTTGTTCTGCTATTATTTGATGAATGTAGTGACTGGCGCCAATATTTCACTAAACGTTTGCTATTAATGATATTCAATACCGACTATTTTTTTTTCGATGTGAATATGCTATAGTTTGAATCTCAAACAAATTCTCGGCTTCCAGAACCCCTCCATACCATCCAAAGCATGCCTAACCATTTATTTTATCATCAATCAATGATTGAATGTATCAAAATTTTACGAGATCAGAAGCTTGAAATGATTGTTTTGTCGACCAAATAGTTATCTGTGTATTGAAGATGCATTTTTCTGCATAATAGATATAATATTCAATATTTCGTAGTATTATATTATGTTTATTTCCTATTAATTATGTTTCGGAGGTCAAATTCGAAGGTATGACGTTTTTCCTCCAATTATGCACTTTTCCTGTGCATTTTCTCTCCACAAGAGGTCTTCAATGGGATATGGTACAAGTTGTAACAGGACAATTCCAATACCAACCTTCTCACCCTATCACTATGAATATCCCTAGGTACGCGATAAGTAACCCAATGGCTTCCACGAACAAGTATTGGAGTCCCTGCCACAGTGACACAGGCTCCTGAATATTGAGAAAAATCTGATTGTTTATTATGCCCAAATATGAAGCCTGAAAAAATATCAATCGACGTGCATTGGCAGATTATCATGAATATGTCTTCCTGAATTGTATATAGCAGAACTATAATCACCCTGTTTATTTTTATGTTCTGGTTTCCACAAAGAAGGATATCCTGTTATGTTCAAAGAACATCGTGAGAACCAAGGGAAATAAAAAAATAAAATAGGAATTGGTGTTCTTCTTGAATTTCTGGAGGTTATATGCCTCGGGGAACACCTCTCTTGGCAATGTGTTCCAGAGCCTCGCTGTACGTTGGATGAACGAGTCTTTGGAAAGAGATGTTCTGCAGGTCTGTTAAGTGACCACGAATGGGTGCGAAGCCTCAACTCGATGGGTTAATCTCGCGGAGACTGCCAAAGCAGGAACAATTGTTGATATTTCAGAAGAACATCGTCCATGAAAATACAGAGCCAGATCGGCAACTTTTCTACAGTGTTCCAGAGAAGTGAGTGAGTTTGTGAGCGAGGCATCACCCACGAGACGGATTTCCCTTCATTAGACAGAATTCAACAGTTTATAGGGTATGTTTGGGTGCTGCACTATATGGAAAGAGTTTTCCAGGACAGGTCGAATCTGTGCCTAATAGCTCATAAGCAGCTGACTGGAAGTGGAATTGCTCCTGGCCCGAAACAGAGAACCACGTTTTCGATATGCACTTTTAGCAATTGATCTCACGTGATTTTCGCCAGGAAGGTTATTGCTGATAGTAATACCAAGGAATCGAAATGGATGTCTTCAAAGGTATGGTTACTCCTCACAAGCTCATGTTGGACACAGTGAGATTGGCATTTCTAGAAAACAGGCATGCTCGTGTTTTGTTTGCATTAATATCTACCAAGTTATTGGATCCATATTCGAGAATTGTTGCCAAGTCCATATTTATGTTGTCAACATTTCTCCCTCGTTCGTTTCTGATTTGCCTGGCTGGTATTTGAGCCCTGGAAGAGAAGGCGGTATGGAGGGTACTATCATCCGCGAAGCTGTGTACTGGACATTGAGTTGCTTCCAACCAATCGATGATATGGAGTAGAAATAGTATTGGTGCTAGAATTGATCCTTGCGGAACACCAGCATTAAGGATGAGAGAGTCAGATGGAACTCCGTCGACCACTACATGGAGAGACCTGTGTGAGTGAAAACTAGCTAGCAGAGAACATAGCTGGGGGGGCAAGCCATAAGATGAAAGCTTGGCGAGGAGTCCGTGGTTCCAGACTCGATCGAATGCCTTGGGGATATGAAGTGCCACAGCTAAGTTTTCAACATATTTTCCAACAGATTGCTGCCATATATGTGAGACGTAAGCGAGCAGGTCATCAGTTGATCTCTGATGACGAAAGCCATATTGCTTATGGTTGATAATACCTGAATGTATAAGGTATTTCATGAGCTCGATGTTGATAGCTTTCTCCATGATATTTGATGGCAGTGCGATCGGTCTGTAGTTGCTAGATAGGGTCTTTTTGCCTTTTTTAGGAACTGGTTGTACTCTTGTAATTTTCCAGTTGAAAGGGAATATCCCCAATTCGTAAGAGTAGTTGAACAACTTGCAGAGAACAGTTGTTAGTTCAGGAGCACAGTCCTTGAGGACAATCGGTGGGATTCCGTCGGAGCCACAAGCTTTGTTGGTGTTGAGACCCAATACAATCTTCCTTATAGCACCGAACCTGTTTATGTTCGGTGCTCATAGTACGTTGCCGAAAGGTGATCTCGGGCATATGATTGTCAATTGGCGTTATGTTTGGAGGTAGTTTTTCCGATGAATCCAGAGTGATAATTACAGCAAATAAATGTGCAAAAATGTTGGCTTCCTCCTGGGCAGTTGTGGCTAGTATTCCATCTTCCTTAATTAAAGGAGGAAACGAGCTGGAAGTGAAGTTTCTTCCTTCAGCTTTGGCGAAGGACCAAAATGAACAGGATCCGTTAGGACATTCAACAAGTTTCGATCCTATTTCGGCATTATGAGCATCCTTTGATAATCGAATGGTCTCATTGCATATGCCTCTAGCCTCGACATATTCTGCTCTAGTCTCAGGCCCGTTACTTTTTTGCCATCGATGTAATGCTGCCAGTTTGGAAGCGACAGCACTAGAGCAGTTTTTACTGAACCAGGCCTTATCGGAAGATATTCTCCTTGCAGTGTTAGGTATGTAGGTTTGCATCTCCAACATGATGATTCAAGAAATTGTCTCAGCACATCGTGTTGGGTCTGCTGAGTGCGCTGTGTGCGATTCGAAGCCGCAAAACTCTCGTCATCTGGAATGCGTTGAGTAATGTCGATCTGAATGAAAACCTCACTAATTACCTAACTTATTACTAAAAACTTACTTATATCAAAGTAGTCGGTTTTGCTCATATCGTGTGATCAAATTCGCAATATTCATTTTTCGAAAACCCGTTTTTATTTGTATTCATGACCTATTTGATTCATTCATATCTCAAGAATAATACCAACTCTTTTACAAATTCCGAGCGTGATATCTCATACACGATATGTTTATTTCACAGAGGCCAATTCCAAAATTGATGCTTTTGTATCTGATCCTGTACGAAAGCAAGAAAAAGTCCTTGAAGTTTAAATTACCAAAAGTGGCTATCACTTCAATTCCCTCATTCCAAAAACATTTATCAATGGTATCAGTATCAAAAAACTCTAACCAGAATCAATATTTCTAATTTTTAGGTTAAACCTGATGGTACTCTAAACAGGGATCGCATGATGGAACTCTGTCCTCCTCAGATAAAAGAAACAGGTCCAAAAATAGTACTAGGATGTTGGGAGAAAGTTAAAGGTTAGTTTTCGTATACATCTACAATAACGTCATTCTGTACAAAATAATGTAATTTAAGGATTTGCTGCATAGACAAAAATTTGGAAATAATAAAAATTAAGACCAGTCAAGGGTGAGCACTATCTGAGGGCCCAATTTACTCGAACATGAAAACAAAGTTTTTCTCTGTAAACAAAGTTTCTCTCTGTAAACTTCGACAAAAATGTCCTTGACTAACTACGGAATATCTCAAAAAATATATCGTGGTTTGAAAAAATAAAAATCACACTTCAATATGTACAGCGAAACTAAAATAAGCAGGAAACAATTGTTATTTTTGCAACGAGTGCAAGAAGTACCTAAGTGTTCGAATTTGTCAAACGAGGCGGTTATTCTTCCCGTCATTCACTATTTTTGTTGTTAATTTTTTTGAAGACCTGTTCGAATCAGTAATCAAAGGGTCTGAGCATTATTCTATATTTTTATTTTAAAGCCCTGATATCGGGGTTTGAAGTTTTCGTTGGACCACCCTGTATAAAAAACAATGCTATTCCTTTTCTGACGAGTATGCGCAGAGCGTATGTAGTACTGGGCCGGCCATGAATAATTTGAAGAAAACTATACAGATTGTTTGCCCATCGTTACATGTCAATGGCAACATGATTCGGTTATTGTACGTATTCGCTAGTCTAGATTACCTCAGATTTAAAAGAATAGTAAAAAATTTTCCCAGAAAAGTTCTTGAATAACGAGAATATGTTAGAATTATAATAATAAAGAGGAGTGAAACCATTGAGTGGGACAATTACAATTGACCACCCTGTATATGATCTGAAGGAATTGCAGAAAAAGCAATTCAGATTACTACGGCTAATCCATGTCAAATTTCAAATACCCGTATTCGGGAGTCAGCGAATGTGCTAATTTAAGATCTCATTTTTTGTTTTAGAGGTGACTCCCCTGGAGAAGAGAGTATACGAACTGCAGAAATGTTTCTACAAATCTGATCCAGAGGTAGGGTGAAGCAAATATTGTCATTGAACTATTATCAATATGGCATTTTTTTTATTTGCAGAATCATATTATGATTTGAGGAGACGTAAGTTGAGGCGGCCCTCCTGCGAGCGTGGATTCGGACTTACCTACATAAGAGTTTCCTCTTCTTCCTCCAGAATTATTATAAATTGAAACTTCGAATCATTAAACCTCTCGATTCAACGAATTCGTTTTTATTGATCATTATTGATTTTCCTAGACTTATTTCGGGAGATCCAGTAACTAAGATTAGTGTAATAATCCAGTAACTTTATACATCCCAGTATGCGTCAAATCCGGTATTTCTGATTTTTTTCAGACTTGTTCATGATGTTGACCTTATGAATAATCCAAGTTTGTGACCTTTAGTGCCGAACGCAACTTTGTCAAAAATCGATAAAACTGCGAAAAAATCGTTTTTTTCTAGTTTTTTGCGATCATAACCCCAAAGGACTAGTTTTTGAAAAAACTCTTTCAGAACGTTTTCAAAGTAGACCAAATTTGCTACAATATGATATAAAAACTGTCTCTGTAGACTCATTATTCTCCAAGATTGAACCTTTCAAAGTTTATCATTTTTTTCGAACTTCGAAATTTTTTGCAATCCTGTCGTTCTGATTGAATTTTCACCCTGATTATACAATCGAAGTCCTGATGAGATGATGAGAAAGAAAATGAGGAGTGTGAACGAGGATGTTTAAGCTGAGCTACGAATAATGAGATAAAAAAGATTAGTACAACAAAAGTTAATGACTTTATTTGTTAGGAAATGGAGTAAAATTGAAGATAAAAAAATTAGATTAATTCAGCCTTCTTGGAAGGTCCCGGTTCAGGTTCGTCTGGATCTGGATCGACGTATTGGGATGGCATATCCGCATCAGGGGATGGTGATGAATCGTCGACGTACTTGCCCAAAAGTCATCCTCCATTTCAACATCGGGCAGATCGTCGCCTTCTGGGATATCTACTACTACAACATCAGGTACATTGTCACAAGATGCCCCACTGCAGTGCCTGCAGACTGATGAGCATTCAAATCCTGACATCCTGCAGCTGCACGCGTTCCCACAACCCTTCGTGCAGCCGCAAGAAATCATCCGCAAGAGGTGTTGTGGGGCTGCATCTCTGGTCATCATTTTGGGAATCATTTTGGGATTGAGGCCTCGTGGCGTGGATATCCACCCCCAGGAGGGAGGGTTCAGTGTGACTCCCAACCACAACTGTACCTGTTAGGAGATTGTACATGAGAATGAAAAATGATGAAAGATAATAACTAATGTGAATTACTGATGCAACGATGTGTAGCAGGTACCTGAGAGAAAACCAATACCTATTATATGTGATATCCCTACAACCCGGCGCCATCTTGCCAGCTAAAAAGTCCTGTGGTTGAGATTGCCAAAAAAAGTTTGAAAACGTGCTAAAGGTGGGTCGCATTCGTGACTCCACACGAACAGTACTAGCACACTCCGTCGGAGGTAATTGAAACTTCATCCCGCCAGAGCATATTCGAGTGACGCCTAAAACATTGCAAAAAATTGCGAAGTTCTGAAGAAATTATAAACTTCGAAAGGCTTAATCTCGAAAACTATTGGGTCTACAGAGACAGTTCTTGTATCATATCGTAGCAAATATGATCTGCTTTAAAAACGTCCTGAAAGATTATTTCAAAAACTAGTCCTTCAGGGTTATAATCGCCAAAATTTGAAGAAATTACGATTTTTTCGATTTTTGACAAAGTTGCGTTCGGTGCTCGAGGTCACAAACTTGGATCATTCATTAGGCCAACATCATGAACAAGTCTGCAGAAAATCAGAACTACCCCCATACATATATGTTCAGGCGACAAAGTTACTAGACTATAAACAGTGTGAACAACATATTATGGAAAGCACTCCAATTCAATCTGAAATGAGAATTCCTTCTGGAGTGTTTTTTTCCATCTACTCAGGTGGCGTTGGTGTCCATATCTCGCAGATGCCGAACGCCTCGTGGGAATTGAATTCTGGAATGTGTTTAGGTTGAGTGAAAGTCGCACCAGAATGCGGTCATGAATGCCATCTGGGGACACACCAGCACTGGTGATAGCCGCAAGCTCGAAATCGGCTTGTGTAGGTAGTCAAGCGTTCCTGAACAATTCAAGCACAATTCAGCATTTAGGAAGGAAACACTTGCTATCTTATTTATTTTCCATATACAGGGTGTTGAAGTTCCTTTGAAAATATGTTTTTCCATTGATTTCGAAGAGATGCCTCAGCCGATAGTGATAAACGTACCAAAGCCGTATTCACTTCTAATATCGCTTTCAATTCATAATATGACTCAAAAATTAAACCTCTATTGCAAACGTACATACATCTACTTTCTTATTTTGTTTGGTTCTGATATGAAAGCTCATAGGCAGTTCAGAAAGAGAGGAGAAATCATCAGCAGTTTCCAAATAGATATGATATCAAGATATTAATGTTTTGATGATGTAAATATTATTGAAATCATATGGACCAAATCTTTGTATATGCATTCGATGCATTCAAGATTCTTTTAAGCAAAAAGATATGTGACCACTGGATGAATCAACTTTCTGTTTTTTCTCACACTGGTTTCCTGAATACAATCTAGCAATTTATGGAAATGTATTGATTTTATTCGAGTCTGTAAATTGTTGAATATGGTTAGATGATTCGGAAACGAATGAAAAAATAGGTAGTAGTATATGTTAAATACTGTCTGTAGGTTAATCGAGGAGGTGGTACATTCATTATTCCAAATTCTTGAACAAAACTGTTGTGAATCTATCATCGAGAGTATTGACATATACTGAGAAGTTAATATTATCAAAAGGAATGAATTTTTCAATAACTCCAAATAATTTACCAAGATTAAAATTTATTACAATTTAGCAATTGAACAATCTGCGCAAAGACTTCCTGATGAATTTTCTAATGAGTATAGAATTAGAAATAAAATTATAATTGAAAAAGAACACAAAATCATATAAAACATAACTAGAATAGAAAAACAGTCAATTAATAACCTAAAACACGATAACACAATCAAAATAATTCCAGCTGATAAAGGAAATGCTACAGTCATCATTGTCAAAACTGAATATAATACTAAAATTGAACAACTTATAAATGATGGTAATTACACGAAATTGAATAGAGATCCTACAGCAAATATCGAAAGAAAGATACGTAACATGCACTATTAAGAAACACGAAAATCAATTGACACTCGCGGAAAGAAAGAATATCTCCACATATCACAGCAAACCTCCTCATTTTCACGGACTTCCATAAATACACAAATCAAATGTTCCATTGAGACCAATTGTGAGTACAATTGGATCTCCATGTCAAAATTTAGCAAGATTTCTTTTGAATATCATCAATCCTATTTCAGGAAAAAGTGAGAGTTACATCAGAAATACTCCTCATTTCTTAGAAAAACTTAATGACATCACTCTTGATACAAATGATACTCTTGTTAGTTTTGATGTAGTAAGTTTATTCACAAATGTTCCAATAGATAAAACTTTACAAATAGTGAAACATAAATTAGAAGACGATGAAAGTCTCACTGGAAGAACTAATCTAAGTATCGAAGGAATAATGGAATTTTTGGAATTGTGTCTAAAACCAACATATTTCCAACTGGGTGATGAGTTTTATCAACAAAACTTTGGAATGGCCATGGGATCGCCATTATCTCCAATTTTAAGCAATATATTTATGAAGAATTTTGAAGACAACATCATCAAAAATTACCAAAACAACCTAAAACATGTTGGCGATACGTAGATGATATTTTCATAATTTGGCCTCATAACGTTATGGAGCTAGATAATTTTCTGGATTATGTGAAAATGAAACTAAACAGTGCCAAAGTATGTTCATTAATCCAACTTCTGAGAAAGAGATAGGAGACCTCATAGATGCACTTGAGACAGGAAAAGCCCAAGGTTTTGATGGAATAGATATAACTACTGTAAAAAAATGTAGGAAAGCTCCAGTACCAATCCTGTGTAAAATCATTAATCAATCACTCAGCAGTGGAAAAGTCCCTGATAAAATTAAAATTGCAAATGTGCGGCCCCTATAATATAAAGATGGTGAGAAGGACCAAGTGGACAACTACAGACCAATATCAGTTTTGCCAATCATAATTATCAAAGATAATAGAAAAAATTTTAAACAATAGGCTGAATTGTTATCTGAATAGCACAAACTTTTTCTACAAACGTCAATATGGCTTTCGTGAAACAAGTGACACAGTATCAGCAACAATAGACATGATATCTGAAATATAAATAGAAATAGATAAGAATAAGAAATGTGGTATGGTCTCCCTTGATTCACGAAAGGCATTCGACACTGTAAACCATAAAATCCTGCTGGATAAGCTATATTCTTTGGGCGTTAGAGGAAATTGTCATGTATGGTTCAAAAATTATTTAGCAGACAGAAAGCAGTTTGTCTCAATGGGAAAATTTTCAAGCACAGAAAGAGAAATCAAATGTGGCGTGCCCCAAGGGTCTATTTTAGGACCAACCTTATTTCTTCTTTATGTCAACTCAATATCAAAATCAAAACTGAAAGGGGAAACAAGATTATATGCAGATGATACCATGATACTATACTTTAGCAACTCTTATGATGAACTGAAACTCAATATTGTGGAAGACATGCAAACAATTTCTACCTGGTTGGTTACTAACAAATTTACACTAAATGTTAATAAATCTGGATATGTAATAATCTCTAGACAAACCCCCCATGTCCAAGTGAACATACAATATGGGAATACAACCTTGCAATACTCTCGAGTTATCAAGTACCTTAGTCTTTACATTGATGAAACTTTGTCCTGGAAAACCCATTTAGACAGGCTGAGATCTGAGATTGCAGCTCCAATAGGTATATTATGGAAGTTGAATAATTGCATACGAAAACATCTTTTAAGAGGAATTTACTATTCATTGATTCATTGTCACATACAATATCTTACTCTGCTATGGTACCCTTCTTTCAAGAAAGTGATCAAGCCAATTGAGAT